TACGTATGATAACATTATTTGCTTCATTTTTGACGCAATGTGTTGTGGGTTTCGTGTTAAGGACTTCCCTTTTCTCTTAAATGCTCAAAAGACAAAGTACAAATATCAGGCTCGTCATTTTCACGGAAACGACTATTAATTAATGATTTATTATGATGCGATGTTTGATATCAACGTCAGATCTGTCAAGTACGGGAGAACCCCTCCCCTCCCTCTCCCTCCCCCATCTCCGGACGCACGTTAAGGTGGTTCGGGCTGAGCGGCAGATGTACGATAACCAAAAGTTTTCTTCAGTGTAATGCGATGAGTACGGCCTCGTTAACCAAAATTTTATCAGTGCGATAGGAAAGGACACGCTTTTTAAATAAGGGGAAGGTGTTATTCCGCACAGCAAAGACCAAAACAGCGACGAGAAAGAAAAAGAGATGCGGGTGTAGTTTCGCCAGGTGAGGGACGGCGAGTACCTCGAAACGTTTCCTCGTGATGAGCCTCAGTCTCCACCTGACTGTTGTAGCGTGTGGACTAGTGTCGGAGTGTCTCAGACTTGGTTATTAATACAAGGTGTGGGATTTTGTGTCGCATCTTGCAGTTATTGCTTTGTGCTTGGTGTGGAGTGTCTGGATGTGTAAAATATGCAGGGAATCCAGTGTCATATGTGGAGAAAAAACGTTATTTTGCGTGACTTTGGAAATTATGTCAAATAATATACATTGGAAAAAGAGTGACAGTGCTCCATAGTTTTGAAAAAAATGTTGTGAGATACTGTATATCTAAATTGTAATGAACCTTCAACAGATAAAATCATACGGTAATTATACCGTTGGTGTTTTGGGGTGTTATTATAGACCATCCGGGAATTTCAATAAGTATGGATCTTCCTCTAAAATAACCCTTGGAACAGCTGTCCATGCGTGCGTGTGTATGTGTATGTTACACATACGTTTAAATACATAACACATATATAAATAAAACGTGCGGGCGAAAACACATAAATGCGAACAAACGATTAAACGTGTGCATCTGTGCTTACTTGAAGAAAATTGTAACGTGTATTGATTGCCTTGTGTTTTTGTTGACAAAGAAAATAAGATTTCGGTGAGTCAGTCATGAGTCACGACGACTCGAGGTACTATACTCACGCGGAAAAGGGCACGTGACGCACATAATTATCCCACTGTGTTTGCGCCAGGATGTTCGTCCGGTCCCCCGGCTACTTTTGTAACACATCTTAGGAAAATTTAGCTAAAACAACGTTTGTGCAATCTAAAGGGGATATAAACACTGCAGCCCGAATCCGCATTTAGTCCAACGTTTACTGCCTTGCCTTTTGTGTCGGGAATTCCCTCATGACTCACCCATCGAAGGCCGTGTCCCCGTGGTTCTTGGATGACCGTGGCTACTCGGCGCGTCCTGAGAAGATCACGTTCGCCGTAGGAGAGGATTTCGAAGTGGGGAACCGCTCGCCCGCCCTCCGACGCCTTTCCTGTAGGGGATTAGGGGGCGGTATCGATTGCCTGCAGATCTATGATTGTTACCTATCGAACTTCCGACCATGCGCGTATTGATCTGACGAGCACCTGGGCCCAAGACCACGAGAGCAACGCTAAGAGAGGAGGGAGTAAAATCAGATGCGAAAATGAGAATACATTTGGTAGAGTGAGATTCTGAGCCGAGGTGAATTATCTGGTCGAATGTTAGTTTTTGCCTGCTCTCCGCAGACACATCGATCATGCAGCCAAACAAAAAGAAGTTGCGAGAGGCAGGTTATTTTGAACTGTAATTTGTCCGCCACGCGTTCCGTTAGTCTGCTTTCTGCACGAACTGAAGGAGGGCGATAGGACTTCCTCGGGGTGTTACCAAGTGGGGGGGGGGGATGAGGCAGGTAAATGAATGGCAGGAGATTGGTTCCTGCAGGAAGTAGGGTAATGTGAGATGCTGGGTAGGCGGGCGGGCAGGAGGTGTGGGTGGGTAGCTCGGGTTGTGTGGTCAGCAGTCTTCCTGGGCACGGGTATAAGGCTGTCCTGCCATGTGGCCTCGCCCTCATGCCCTGTCATTTTCACTCTTGGCATTACCAAAGCTATGTCACTACTAGTTCTTGGGTATAAGTAGGAGGAAGAGGGAGAAATATAGGAAGACGGGAAGACTCGAGACCCCGAACCGCGAGGTCGGTCGAGCCGCGACGGAGCATCCCAGATATGTGGGAGGGCTCGCGTGAGTGAATCAGAGCTCCGAGAAAAGGTGGGCTTGTTCCTCCGAATTAGGCCCAGGGGCATTAGGCACGAGAGTAGCTAATTTCAATTACATGCTCCATAGAACAGGATGCCAACGGTGTCCCAATTTGCATACCTCCCGCGCCACCCACCTCCTTTCGCAATTTTCCGCCTAATCTCTGGCCAGATTTCCGAGAGTTTTGTGATTCATTCTGCGGCCGCGACTCGCCACACACTCGGTGATGGACGCGCGCTCCCTGGGCATCAGTAAGGGCCCGCGGCGTGCCCTGAAAGGTGGTGCTGTGACTTGAGACTCCGCCCTGTGTGGAGGAGAGAGGGGGTGGATGGAGTGGGAAGGTCGGTGGGGGGACTTAGAGGTCGCCCGGTCGAGTACTGTGGTGTGTGTTGTAAACGGACTGTTGGACTTGAACTGTGGTCTTTGAGAGGGGTCATATAAGCGTGTAGTTTTTCCCTTGGTTCGGCTTCTTGTGGGGAAGCCCTGTGTAATTTGTATGCGGAACTCGTAATGGATCACATATCTATTATCAGGAGCACGGGAACTAGATCATCAATTCATCAATTTTAAAGCTCGGTAGGCTGCGTATTCCCCCTTCGAGATAACGGTTATCAATCCTCTGTTCTTCCGTGAACTCAATGGTTAAGATTCCTTATTCCTATTTTTCACGATACACGGCTCAGTAGCTTGGTAATTGTTCTTTATGTGTCTTACAAACGGCTTGGGATTTGTGAGGTACAGGTAGGCCGTTGGTACCTCGGTTGGCGTGTAATTGTTTTCCAGAGTGAAGAGAGGCTTGTGACCAGGGTGGAGTTCTGTAGTGGTCCCCGGGGGGTGGGGCTGAGGAACATGAGGGAGAACATGTGTGTTGAAGGGGAGAGAGGGATAGGGATGAGAGAGAGAGAGAGAGAGAGAGAGAGAGAGAGAGAGAGAGAGAGAGAGAGAGAGAGAGAGAGAGAGAGAGAGAGAGAGAGAGAGAGAGAGAGAGAGAGAGAGAGGAGAGAGAGGAGGAGAGGAGAGGAGAGGAGAGAGAGTAAAGAGTAAGAAAGTGGTATAATAAAAGTGAGAGAAATAAGGGAGATGATAAGAGAAAGAAGAAAACTAATGATAGAGAGAGAGAGAGGAGGGAAATGGAAAGAGTAAGAAAGTGGTATAATAAAAGTGAGAGAAAGAAACTGAGATGATAAGAGAAAGAACAAAAACTAATGATTGAGAGAGAGAGAGAGAGAGAGAGAGAGAGAGAGAGAGAGAGAGAGAGAGAGAGAGAGAGAGAGAGAGAGAGAGAGAGAGAGAGAGAATGCTTGTGGTTTAGCACTGGTGTTTGATGGTTGCAGCTGAAAATGGTAAATGTAATGCTTTGGGAGTTGTACAGTCCAGAGAACTCCGTAATAACGGAAGTACGCAGTGGCGGCTGTACTGATGACTGTGATGGTCAGCCACACTTAACCAGCAAGCTACGTTGGAAGAATTTTATTTCCAGTTTCTTTACCGGAACTTTTTTTATTTTTCTTGTTTGTTTGCGAATACACGCAGCACACTGTGCACACAACACAACTCACTGGTCGAGATAACCTTAGGTGTTCTGTTCACCAGCGTTGCCATGTATAATAAGTCTTTCATTCACCGGAGCTTCGTAGCCAAGGACAGGCCGGTGATCTTGTCCTGGTGGTCAGCTACTGCATTACTGATTCGTTACAAGGGGAATCTCTCTCTCTCTCTCTCTCTCTCTCTCTCTCTCTCTCTCTCTCTCTCTCTCTCTCTCTCTCTCTCTCTCTCTCTCTCTCTCTCTCTCTCTCTCTCTCTCTCTCTCTCTCTCTCTCTCCTCTCTCCCTCTCCCTCTCCCCTCTCCCTCTCCCTCTCCCTCTCCCTCTCCCTCTCCCTCTCTCTACTCTGTTAGGATTGTTAACATTTTCATTATTATTTTATAACCAAATCCACGATCATCATTGTTACCATCGTCATCGTCGTCATCATCAACATCATCATCATTTATCAACATCTTCATCTTCATCAACATCATTTTCTTCACCACCATCGCCATTATTATTTTTATCACTTAAATTTATCTATATGAGTTTGAATAAGATTTCATCCCATTCCAATTTCTACTTCAGGAAAGCTGTTATTCATAAGAGACCTGGAAGAGTAGCCAGAGGGACCTTTAAAGTTAAATAAGGGTTGTGCATTTACATATTTACGACAGTTGCTTACATAACGGAAAATTATGTTTTTTGATTTGAAGACTTAATGGGTTTGTCGAACAGGGGCGCGTCGGCTTAAATTTTCGACGCACTTTGGGGCAAACAAGGCAATCAGCGTCAGCGCACAAGCAAGACGTTGACGAGATAAACCAAGTGTCAGCTCCCACGTCAGCCCGGGACGTCAGGCGAGTTCTGAGGCGGGTATATGACAGATTAATCTATGGGACGTGACAGGTGGCAGCAAGTTGACGCCCATTTTGGTCAGAGGTTTCGTAGAAGGCAGGCGGGGGCGATGGGCGAGTGGGAAGGTCGCTATGTAGGTCCTCGTGGTCGAGATATTTCCTCTCTTGCTCTCGCTCTCTTTCTCTCTCTGGAAACCTCCTCGTTCTCTTTATCCGCCTTCATCTCCATCTCTTTCTCGCCGCCTATCCATATCCTCAGTCTGAACCTCTCTTGTTTATTTCGTCGTCTCTTATGTTGCTTCTCATGCTGCCTGTCTATCTATCTCTTTATCCCCCCTCCCCCCTCTCTCTCTCTCTCTTCTCTCTCTTCTCTCTCCCCTCCCCCCTCTCTATCTCTTCTTCCTCCCCTGCCTTCCTCCTTCCCTTAAATCCCTTTCTCCCTCCCTCTCCATCCCTCCCTCCCCCTTCCCTTTCCTCTCCTCTTCTCCTTTGCCGTCTATACACACACATTTCCCGTGATGTATGTGCGTCGGGCGCCGTGGCCGGGCCGTGCTGGCGAGGCATTAAGGGGCCAGCGCGTGTCCGGAGATGATGGAGATCTGGGATCCCCAAGATGGCGGGAGGCAATTTATCCCCCCTTATTTAGTGCGTTCCTCCTTCCGACGTCTTCCACGGTGCGTCCAGACGGTTAATGAATATTCATTGATGACTCCGAAGAACGCACACGCTCTTGCTTGTTGCTATCATCCCGTGGCTTGAGGCTCGCAAGCGCTTTGTCGACAATTAGCAAATTACAGGTCGCACTTAGTTGCCAGAGAGATTTTATAGCGTTGAAGATCCCGGCGCGCCAGACGACCACTTGTTGAGGACTCGATAATTGACGGATCGGAATTGAAGATCTGTGTGTGTGTACGTATGTATGTATGAATGTGTGTGGTTGCGTTTATGTATGTATGTATGAATGTGTGTTTGTGTTTATGGCTTTTTAAAATGAATTCTAACGAGTAGCTATAGGCCTACCACTAGGAAAAGTTTACATGTTTCGCGGCGCCAAAAAGGTAATATCCGACCGAGAGGACATTCCGAGGTTTACCCGCACGCGGCTATTCCTCGGCCGCCCGCATGCGTGATCGCGCTTTCGAGCTGGCCAGGCCGGTCGTAAATCTTCGGCGAGGCTGTTACCGGAGCTTTCGTAGGCCTCTTGGGAGGTAGTTGGACAGGGGGGGGGGGGCGAGGACGTCGAGGCGAACAAGTGAAGTCTGTATTTTCAGGATTTTACCAAGATACTGTACGTGCGTGCGTGTGTGAGTGTGCGTGCGTGTGTGTGTGAGTGTGAGTGCGTGCGTGCGATGTATGTGCGTGTGTGTGTAACCTTTAGGTTTTAAGGACTCCTCCCCACTGTCAAGGCTACTGAAAGTGACAATAGATTTCGGAAATGTCACCGATTCCAATGAGTAGAATGTCACGCATTCGGCACGCCCGACACTGATTTATTCCCTAACGCCATTTTTTCTGTCCCCGCGAAGAACTCGGGAGGGAGACTGCCTATAAGCCTCGACAGCTAAGGGAGCATTCCGTCTTGGGGAGCCCTTTTCCCCTCAACATCTGTGACGCGAAGAGGCATAGCGCAAAGACGAGGTATTTTAGACCTGCGAATGATAAGATCTCAGAGGGGGGGGGGGAGTCACGTAAACACAGGCCAAGACGGGAAGCACGAAATGTCTCAATCTGCCTAACTGTTGGTTCACATCCTCTACCAGACGAAGATGATACAAGGAGTAAAAGAGAAATCCAGGAGGAGGAGGTCAGTAAGGGGGGGGGGGTTGCAAGGTGTATAAAGTTTCAGCCTCATGGATGTTGGCGGTTGTGGGAATGACGTAGCAACCCCCCCCCCCCCCACTTCTCTTCATGGTAGTCTGCGTCCTTACGTTTTCATGTATTACCCCGGGGATTCTCCGCTGGTTTTTTTATCATTATGATTCCCCTTCGTTTTATTATCATTTCCATTATATTATTATTATTGTAACCATTATTGTTTTCATTATTTTTATAATATTATTGTTGTTTATTATTTTTTGGCATTATTATTATGGTTATTTTTATTGTTATTGTTGTTGTTGTAGTTATTATTATTATTATCATCATTATTATTTTTATCATCATTATCATCATCATGATATCATGATCATCATTATAATCATCATTGTCGTTTTCATCTTCGTTTTCGTTATCGCCATTAATATCATTACCATTATTATATTTTTTCTATATTTTATTATTATTATCATCATTATTGTTATTATTTTTCGTTATTATTGTTATTGTTATTATTATTATTATTATTATTATTATTATTATTATTATTATTATTATTATTATTATTATTATTATTATTATTATTATTATTATTATTATTACTGTTATTGTACTCTAGAAGTTTTATCATGTCACCAAAAAGCCTCTTCCATTTCCAGTCCTTTAGAGTGAAAGCAAAGATCTTAATGGAAATGAAGGATCAAGGATTTTATTGCTAAAAAGAGATGAAAGATAAACATGAGGATTAGTGCAGACTTGAACTCCTATTTGCGAGCGACGTATGTGTTAAGCAAGTTAACTCATTAAGTAGCCAGAAAATAGCCGTGACTCATGTGTAGTATCATAAAATTGTGTGGGTCTTGTGGAGTTGCCTGAGTATCCACTGCCCACCCTGACGCCCACACCCGACACCCAACCCCGCCCACGCCCCAAGACCTCCGCCATGCCCATCCCCATGTTGAAGGCGCTCAACCGCGCCCCTGGTGACCGCAGGAGCATGGGTGTGGGCGTGCAGTCACCCAAAGTTGTGCCAGAACCTCCGCCCTCATCCATGGTCAGGAAGAGCTGGCATGCAGGTAAGCGTCAGCGGTGTTTTCGCCTTCAGGAAGAAGAAACTGCACACGAAATAGGCGTGCTGTGTAGTGGCTTTTTTTTTAGCACTGTATCAACTTGTTATAATGTTTTGTTATTCATTCTCCAGATATATAAGTTCTTCCTAGATTATATGATCTCTTATATGTACTTAATTCACTCGTGAAATAAGAAACACTATGCCTTAAGAGTATTTATTTGGTCAGTATAAACTTTGAGGTTTATCATGTAGGTATGAACAAAATGCTGGCGTGTTCTTTGCCGGGAAGTTTACTAAGTACATTTCCTCAGGGACTTTTTGTTCCGTTATATTACATTTTTGGTATTATTTACTTTTTTGTTGCTTACGGCACTTGTAACCATTTGCTCACTCTATACTGCTACCTTTCTGCAACACGTTCATATGAAGTAGTCTAGCTTATTTTCTCTTATTTCTTATTATGCTCCTTATGTCTTAGCTGACATCGCTTTTGAGAGAGTCGGCTTATTAGTGACAGCCCCTCATCGGCGGTGTCAGTAGGAACACCAATGATTTGCCTTTTTGCGATGGTGGCCCGAGGCGTCCGGAATCATCAGCGACGGTTCATACAATCCTTAGATCGCCGGTGGCCCTTCAGCAGCTCTTCACGGCCACTCATTTCCTCGAGACAAAACTGCGCGCCGGTGTGGTCTGGGCCGAGGCGAGGGAACTGCTGCGGCTGTTGGAGAATTCCGCGGAAACGAGATGTTAGCGGGACTCTTTTCGGTGAACGAGAGACGTTCATATTAAAGATGGATTATAGCTAATCATGTGCGTGGAAGGCGAAAGTTCTGGACGCTTTGCGATAGAGTTGAATTGCCATGAAGTGGTCTTGTAAGATAATCGACAACGTATATTTTCTTTATAAGAACAAAGTAACGTCTCCATTTGTCTGTCCAAGTTCCCCCGACATCCCTTTTCAAATTGTTTCATAAATTCAAACAATTTCTGTGGTATTTACTGCAAGCGATTTTTTTATTGGATTTTTTTTTCAGCACATCGTGCCATTCAGGAATTATAAATAACGTTTTTATTGAGAAGGTTTTCCCAGTTCTTGCCGCATTGTCGACTCTGTAAACCTTCCTGCAGAGTAATCCAGCAAGGCGGTGCACGTGCGGCCGAATTGCCTCTCACTGCTTTTGTTCTGCCGGCAAGGCGTAACCTCGATAATAAGCGCTGTGCCGCCGAATCGCAAACGCTACCACGATCGGAACGAAGGATTCTTTTATTTATTTAAATGTTTTATATTCCTCATATGTTGGTATAAAATCGTAAGATTCCTAAACGGCTTTTGCTTCAATAACCGGATGCACATGAACAGACGAATGGGTAGAGTGTCCCTCTGAGTGCAACCTCACGCAACTAACAGCGAGAATGGAGGTGGCGCTGGGCCCGCGCGGCCCTCGGAACACCGCAAAAACTCGAGCTTCCCATACCAGTCACGCGGCGGCCCGCCACTCCCGCCATTACACCTTCGCCGACGCGGGTGCGGACGGCGGAGTACGCGGGAAATGACAACGAGTCTGCCATCGCCCTCGCTCGCCGCCGTCAGGGGGACGCGTTCGCGGACGCGCCTTCGCCTTTGTTGCCGGAGAAGGTGGTGGGATGAGGGCGCTGTGCGTGTGCGTGTGCGTGTGCGTGTGCGTGTGCGTGTGCGTGTGTGTGTGTGTGTGTGTGTGTGTGTGTGTGTGTGTGTGCGTGTGCGTGTGCGTGTGTGTGTGTGTAATAGTGTGAGTACGTCTTCGCGGTTTGAGATTTGCACTTCCTTTATGTAGAACACTTACACAGTCAGTGAAGCATTAATTGCAGTTCTAACATCGTAAATGCCATATTACAGCATCCCCTGGGGCTTCAGGATATCACCGCTCGTACACATGATGCCCTTTGCGCAACGTTTGAAACAAAGAGCGCAACAATAGGCGTCCTTTGGGTAATCCTATTTCTGATTGGTTAATCCGGAGTAATCTCGGGCGTGGGTCGGGCCGTCACGTACGCACGAGATGTAGAAATGTTTTTAAAAAATGACATTTGAGATGGAGATAAAAAGCGTATAACGATCCTGGAACAGCGCTCTTTCATCGAGTGATCGAGGAAGCCGATCTGGTCATTATCAGCGCTTCGCTCGGGGGCAGGACATGGGGAGGAGGGAGGGAGGGAGGAGGGGAGAGGGGAACCCGGAACTCCCGCATTCACCGAAAAAGAAAAAAGAACATTTTATTTCTTCGTCAAAAAAAAAAAAACAAGACAAAAATGTAGAAAGGAATGGATGTTCAGAGTACGTTCCCCGGACAGTGATAAAAAAGGAAACGAGAGAGGCAACTAAAGGTGGGGACGAAAGACTTACCGAAGAATTACCGAATATTGCAAATGTTCCACGCTCAACTCGTACGCGTGTGTACGTATGTGTGTGTGTGTGTGTGTGTGTGTGTGTGTGTGTGTGTGTGTGTGTGTGTGTGTGTGTGTGTGTGTGTGTGTGTGTGTGTGTGTGTGTGTGTGTGTGTGAAACAGTGTGTCTAGAAGCAGGGCGAGGTGTACATTGGTCGACCCATGATTGACAGAGGAACTACCGGGGCGGAGTAACGGTCCCGCCACGCCGCCGACACCGCTGGCTCCCTCACCTCCACCCCCACCCCCTCCCTTCCTTTCCTCTTCCTCGCCCCCTTCCTGCTTTGCGATCCACGTGACAGCCAAAGTGGACATCGCGGCAGTCGTTGCCTCTCCGATCATTTTATTCTCATCCTTACATGTCTCCCTGTTATCATATCCTTCCGTTCCTTTTGTATGCTTTGGTGCTATTTTTTCTCCTCAGTATTTCCTTTTTCCTTTTCTTTTTTTCATATTATCTAATACAAGTAATTAGCAAGGCTAGTGAAAAAATGCGTGTCCGAGCAGCCGGCGCGCGAGGACCAAGCACGCAGCGGGACAAAGGCGCGTTCCCGTCCCGCTGCGCTGTCCGTCGAGCAGGGAAGGGCGGCTGGGGGAACGCGGGCCGGTAGTTGTCGGAGGTTTCGCGTTCCCATTAGCCTTTTTTTGTTTGTGTCCTGTTTGGTAATAGGTTTTTAATCCCTGGAGGAGACAGGTCACGGGAGACCTGATCTTTCTCCTTTCCCTCTCGGCCAAACTATCCTCTCAATCCCGACTTTTCGACCTCCCCCTCTCCCTCTCGTCCTTTTGCTAATCACGGAGGGGATCTTCACCTCTCCCTCAAGCCCTCATCCAACCCCCCTTCCTCTCCAACCCCTTCCCCTCCAACCCCTTCCCCTCCTCCTTCTGCACCCTTTCCTACTTTTGCGTGCCCTCCCTCCCCTCCCCTACCCACCATCTAGCTTTGCCCACCGACGGAGATGTTCATCCGACTTCGTTACTTACCCTTGTTATGGGTTGGTCGGAAAGGGCCGTGGGGGGGGGGGCACTTAACGTCTTGTAGGCAAGTCCTCCCCTTCTACCTGGGTGGTGGGCGGGACGTGCATGTTTGCCTATGATTGAAGGGTTGATGGGGGTGGCTGGTTATAGTAAATAAACTCTGAGTGCAGTCGTGGAGGGTCTAGTGTACCCTGAAGATAGAACTTTAAAGAGTGACTGAGAGAGAGAGAGAGAGAGAGAGAGAGAGAGAGAGAGAGAGAGAGAGAGAGAGAGAGAGAGAGAGAGAGAGAGAGAGAGAGAGAGAGAGAGAGAGAGAGAGAGAGAGAGAGAGAGAGAGAGAGAGAGAGAGAGAGAAGGAAAGAAAGAGAGACAGACAAGCAGACAGAGACAGACAGACGTACAGACAAAGGCAGAGAGGGAGGATAGAGCTCAAAGATAAAGAAAGAAAAAGGCATTTTGCGGTTTTTGACAAGTTCGTTTATATTCTTAGGGTATCGGGTTGTAAGTGGGTAAGCTGATAAGAGAAAAGAAGAGTTGTTTGTTTTTTCTCCATTGTTTTTTTCCATTATCGGAATGTACCTCTTACTCTCATATAAATCTTTGAATACCAAGCGTCATTGTTTAGTCTGCTGCATTCAGTACTTGCTACTCTGAGCGAGCGAAGCATCTCAGGGCCATCTATTTTCAGACGTTTAGTAAGTAGACGTCCCTTTGGACACAGGTAAATCCCAACGGAACGGGGATTAAGGGGGGGGGGTTCGTAAAGGACGCGACCCTTCCATATTATCCGCGATTTCGGAGTCGCTTAGTGCCTCCGTCCGTTAGTCAAGTGGCATTGTGGCGCCACGTCTGTCTGTTTGTCTTGCCCCGACACCCGTCCGTCATCTGTCGTCTGATTGTGGATTTTGCCCGTATTTCTTCCTCTTCTCTCCCTAACCATCCTTCTTCATTGTGCTGTTGATTGTGATGGGGACCGGGAGGGATTATGGTGATGGTAATTGGCTTTGTAAACCAGTTCCGTAAGCTTACCAGGCCGGGGTTCTTTCCTCGCCCCCACCCCCTCCTCCCTAACCCCACGCGCGACACACACCTTGAATACCGATGATGACTCGCGATAACTTAATAGAATTTGCTTATTAGAGGCGACTACGACTTGAAGACTGCCCTCTGCTTTGTTTGAAAAACAAACGCAGTAACGAAAGAAATGCAGTAGAGATTTAGATTTGGATTCCAGCTCTTTCTTGTATATTCACTTTAATAGTTGAAAAAATGATTTGAATTTTATATTATAGGACAATATTAATATAGGCTTTCATGGACGATAGTTTACATGTTTGCATTTACACCTCAATTAGCGAGCGAGCGTAGTGTGTATTTATCCTTTTGTATTTGCTCGAAGCACTTAACCATATCAAATTTATATCCTAAATACCCGTTTACCCCCCTTCCCCCCACAGCCTCACTCCCTCCACCTACCTAAATACGAATAATGCAGCTGCCCATAAACCCCAAGTGGATCAAGTGCTGGGTAAACTCCTCGACACATGCGCTAGGGAAGGAGGTTCGGGGGAGGGGGGAGGGGGCAGCTGGCGAGCGTTTGAA